GGGGGGGGGGTTGCCAAGCCTCGAGAGCCCGACACCCAGAGACCGGAGGTTGGTGGGGGGGGGGCGATTAGCGCCGGCGGCGGCCGCTGCTCAGAATCGCGGGCCTCGAGCCCCTGTGAATCTCCCCACCCCCATTTCCAGGGAGGCGGCTCGCCCGAGGCGACGGCCTCGCCGAGAAGCCCAAGGGAAAAAAAGCAAGTAAAAGAGCCAGAATAGACATCACAGATTTGCGAGCTGAGGGGTGCCCACCTATGACCGGGAGCCCCGTCATCCTTGCGGCCTGTTAGGCTCGGGCGTCCGGTGCCCCGGAGCGGCCCCCTCGGCGGGTTCCCGCCCGGAGTCGAACTTACGCCCGAGTGGCTTTGGACGGAATGTGTTCGTCCCCTTTTGACCCCTCATCGGCTGCTCCCTCTGGCATCTTGGCTTTTACCATTATTAACCCCACCTCCATCCATCCCTAAAAAGCAATTAGGCGGCTTTCAGGTTTTTTTTTTCCCCCAGCAAACGCCAGGGAAAGCCGTTGTATAATAAGGCCAGCCTGGATCGCGAGGCCAGAATCCCAATCGGAATAAATTTTCGGCCCTTTGACCTAAGAGAAACAAAAGGCCCGGTGGGCATTAGAATTATCCTTAAGCAATCATCTCGCACGGCTGTTCTCCCCGGGTTAAGCCCACAAGCTTTTTTATCTCGTGAATTGGGAGAGGAAAAGAAGGCGCGTGGTGGACTTTGAAAGAAAGCCCGCGGTGGGAACTTGAGAGCGGTTATTATTTCGGGTAGTCTTGCTGCGGCGTCTTCACCTGCCGTGCGCGGCTAGTTCCGGCAAGAACCCGCGGTTATTGGTAGGGTGGGGCTTGCTTTTTTTTTTTTTTCCGCCTTTCGGGGTCTAACTCGAAGTCTTACGATATGGGGTGGGGGGGTTGGGGGGAGGACAGGACTCTGGGTCCTTAGGAGTTGTTAACTTAAAAAGGATCCAGAATCCAGCAATTTAAGGACAGATTAAGAACGCTCCACATCCGTGGTCAGTAACAGGCAGATAAACACTGGCTGTTTCTGATACAGAGTGCTCCTGGAAGAGAGGACTCTGAGTCCAAGATGTATCCTGATGGGAAATGGTTTCCTCAGAGTCCTCTCCACCTTCCTCTACCCTGCAGTGTTTGAATTTTGTAAGAGGGAGTTCTCCCTTCCTGCCTTCCTTGGGGAGTCAAAATGTGTAAGTTGAAAGTTTGGTGTGGCTGGACATGCCAGTTTTTTGGTCTCTTTTGCTTAAATTGTTTATACTGGTAACCATCGTGTACTGTATTAGAATTACAGTTTATGTAGACACACAGGCAGACCTGGAGGGAGGGGGGGGGCTTTGGGGAAGTCATGTAATTTATCTGGACTTTGTTTTCCTTTCTTCCATAATGAAGAGGTTAGGTTAGATGATTGTTTTCTCTAAGCCCATAACTTTCGGCCTTACAGCAATGCATTTTGGCTCCCACAAAGTTGCCCCGTACCAACTACTTATGTAATCTAAAGCTCAAAGCCTTTTCAATTTGGTTAGTCACTATTCTAAAGTTTAAAAAAAAAAAAAAAAACACTATCTTGGATAATGTTAGCTGCTTTTTCCTCATGTGTGTAATATACACTTGTATATCGTACATGTTAATATGTGTCCAGTTTAACAAAGAATTACCAATGCAAATGCCCACAAAACCACCATATTCAGCTTAAGAAATAGAACATTGCCGGCACTCTGGGGACACTCTGGATTACAGTTACTTCTCGCCTCAACCTGTTTTATGTCCCTAGTGAAGTCGGGCCTGTAATTTAAAAGTAGTTGACCAGTGTATAGCCAGCATTTTTTAAGCTACACAGTAGCATATATACACATATACACACACACACATAAATGTGTGCTATAGGTAGATGAACATAAGTTATGACATAACTACTTACCTCAATCAAGCCAGTGTAGGACTAACTCCTCTGGTTTCACACTGATATAAGATCCATTCCTTGTTCCCTATCATCTTTGCCAATTTTATGTTTTACATAACTGTTCTTGTGTGAAAGTCTTATTGCAGATGTTGAACTTATATTCTGATACGTAGAATCATTTTTTTATAAAAGCCTCAGCAAAATAAAGGATTAAGGAATTTAATTTTTGCTATCGGTGATATGTTTAGCTTTTAATACAAGACAGAAAAAGTGATTTGCTTGTATTTTTTTTGTTTGCCACATGGATAGCATGATTTATCTTGCTATTGAAAAACCCCTTATGATTTAACCTTTAAATGTCTTAAGGTTGTCTCGAACAAACCTACTTGCTCATAATACATAACTTTGGGGAGTTGATTTAATATTTTGGAGTTTTGAGTTAAGGAAAAGTAGTTAAGTGCAGTGTAGAAAAGTAGATAGATAAACCACAGTACCAAAATAAATTCAGCAAAATAGTCACAAGCCTAACAAATACACTTGTGAGGTGGACTTTGAATGAAGTAAGGGTGGAACCCTTCTGGGGGAAGGGAAAAAAAAAAGTTAAGGTATCAGCCATTGCTTTCAATGAGGGACTGTTCTAATTGGAAAAGAATGGACCCTTTTGTTTGAACCTGTTGGCAGTACTGTCTTATAACAGAATAAGATGTGTGCTTCTTGTGAAGAACAAAGAATTGGTCGCAACATTTTAAACTTCTTAACCTTTTTTATTTTCTACTTTCAGTACTTCTAGGCACCTCAGTGGACCAGTTTTTAAGTCCCTGATGGTGCATTTTCATATGAAAAGGAAAATTAGAAAGGTTTATTTAGAGAAGAAAAATGGTGCTTTTTTTTTAAGTTGAAATTATTTTGAGTTTTGAGATGTAAAATGGTGTTGCCTAAAACCAAATCTTTCCCCCAAATATTAAATGCTTCTCTCTGCCAATTATCAGGATTCTCCCTTTGCTCTGCTTCAGTTAGATTTATAACAAAACTAATGTTTGAGTTAATTTACAAACAGTCCAGTTACAGTCAACGTGCCTTTTAAAACACTAGATTGAGGTGATAATCCTCTTTTCTGCCATTGCATTTCACAGTCCTGCCAGGGGATTATGGTTAGTGTAAAGTTAACTTGTGAAGAAGTGATTAAAAAATACAAGTTTTGAGGGGATGAAGATATATAACATAGCCTGATGTTAAACATTGAGATATTGTTGCATGCATTCTCTTTATATGAAGGTAAAACTTTTGATCATTTTCTGTATCTCTTATAATTATGTATTTGAAAGACAATCTACTAGTGAGTGGGGTTTGTGCCTGTGGGAACATTCAGAGTATGACATCCGCTGATTTTTACCTCATTAGTAGATTGAAACTTTGATTTAAAGTGTGAGTTAGGTTTTTGGGTGCTGAGAAATAAGAGGTACTCATTTGAACCTGTGGTCCCCTCTAGACAGATTAAAAAATTGGTCTTCCTACCACCTGAATTCCTTCCCTTTTTCCTCCTTGCTGATGTCACACAATTTTCTCTCCTTGTTTCCTATAGATTATAGTACCTACAGCCAAGCAGCAGCCCAGCAGGGGTAAGTCAGTCTTTACAACAGAATTTAGTGTGCGATTATTGTTTGATAGTATGAAGCCCCTGCTACAGTTGTAGAAGATTTAATAATGGGATTTGAATGTATTATATTCAGTTGTTGCATTTAATTTCCTTTACAGCTACGGTGCGTATACCGCCCAGCCCACTCAAGGATACGCACAGACCACCCAGGTAATCTTTAAGATAATGATATATATAGCTTCAAATATTTCTAGTACCATTAAAATAATAGCTACTGGAGATTTTTTTTTTTTAATTAACTAATAGAGAAGCAGAAGTGCCATAATAAATCATCCCCAAACTGGGGATTATTAGCTGTTACACCTGACATGTGAAATGTTACTGGTAAAGTATGGATAATTTGTAATTTCTACTATCTTTTCACAGGTTAGGTACTCTGCGCCATGCTTATTAGTCTTTGTGGATATTTTATTATGACTAATGTTATTTAATTACATGAAAGTTATGCAGGTGTTAGGACATTTTACAGAGGAGAAAATTGCAATTTATAGGCAATTATTTAATTTGCAAGTGGTCACTCGGTGGTAGTGAGGGGCCAGCTCCTTTGGCTTCCTAGCTAAGGAACATCTGAGCTTTTTTTCAGTACATGAGACTTAAAAACCTAGGCAAACAAATCTAGTAATTAACTTTCTGGTGTTCTCTTAAGAATACCTCAAATTTTGAAACGATTCATAACATAAAATAGTTGTTGGTAACTGCCATGAAAACATTTA